GAGGCCGGAGTTATAGTAAAGAGAGCAGGGCATTTACGTTATACACAGCCAAGCTGGGTTCAATCCTTAGCATTCCATATGGTTCTCCAAGCATCACCAGGAGTGATTCCTGAACACATAGCCTCACCTGAGCATTTCCAGGTGAGGCCCCAGAACAAACTAAAGACTATTTTTTTTTTACCTGAATTGAAACTTTCTCCAAACACTCATTTCCTGAGTGGCTTTAGTGTGGACTTGGTGGAAACGACCTTCTGCCGTATTTACTTGGAAGGGAAGCTTTTGCTTGGAGGACTGTCCCTGCTCTGGGGTTGCTGGTGTATCACCTTTGGACCTCTCCATGGTTCCGGAGCTCTCCGTGGTGCTGATGTCCTCACTGACCTGTATCACAGCCACTCCTGTTCCTGTTCTGCTCACCTCCATCCTCCTTTGTTTCTCTAGTATTGGACAAGGAATGTTTTCAGTTCTTGGCAGAATGTCACCTTCTACAGATTACCCATGTCATCGAAGTTGGAGACACTGGCCTGGATTCCAGTTCGTCTTCACTGCCTCCTATTTCAAGTTCTGTTCTTATTTCTTCTGTAGCAACTTAATTTAGGCCCACTTGCTTGAAGTGGAGGCAATGGCATCCCATCATTTGCTTCACTAGATCCTGTAAGCTCTAAAGGCATAATTCTTATTAAAATCTTTCACTTCATGATGCTTCTTCTGTGACTGAATCCTAATTGGTTCAATAGTTTTCCTCTTGGGTTCTTGCTTGGGAGGTTCAAGTTGACTGGAGATCATTTGGAAGGCAAATGCAGTTAGTTAAATGAGAGCTAGTGGGTTATAGTCACTATTGCATAAGTGGTTCGCATTGTTCCAATTTATATATATTCTTATACACTTACCTTTTCCCTTTTGAGACAATTGTAAACCCCAAAGACAGTTTTTTATTGTGTTATTTCTGTGTTAAATTCCAATACAGATGATATTTTTTTTGTTTTGCTTTTGGGCCATACCAGGTGATGCTCAAGGGTGAGTCCTGGCTCTGTACTCAGGAATTATCCTTGGTGGTTCTTGGGGAACATATGAAATGCTGGAGATCAAACCCAGGTCAAGTACATGCAAAGTAAGAACGCTACCCACTGTACTATCTCTCTGGCCCCCCAAAATGAGATTGTTATTGTTTATGGGCCAAATCCAGTGGTGCTTATTCCTGTTCTGCACTCAGGGATCACTCCTGGTAGTGTGTGGGAATGTATGAGATGCTAGGATTTGAAGCAGGGTTGGCCACAAGCAAGGCAAGTGCCTTACTGCCTTTACTATATTCCTGGCCCCAGATGAGAGTTATTAATCTTTTCAGGCTCATCTTTCCTTCACCCAGTATCTTTTCTCCATTGTAAACTTGGTGGCAGTATACATTCATAAAGGAAAAGAGTGCAAATGCTTTCACAATTTGAATATTCATGAAAACAAAACCAGGGCAAGAACCAAACTGAGACTGATGTCTCCTAAGTGGTGTTCAGGAGGCCCCAGGGTATCACCAGTTATTCTTGACTAATCAACAGTTCAACACAAGGACCTGGGAGGATGTAATACTGTTTAGGATCTGCAGTGCCAGGAATTACCTGGCCATTGCTGGAGTCCTTCAGGGCCACACCTAGTGGTGCTCAGGGGCCTACAGGGCTTTACCCAGTGATGCTTAGGGGACCACGTGGTTCCTAGAATAGAATCTGCTTTGGGCATATGTTAGACATGCACCCCAATTGCTTGTACTATTTTCCCAGATCCAAGGATCAATTTTTACTCACAGAAAAGCCACTAATCTCAAATGTAATATCTATTCAGATTTTTTTGTGGGGAGCCACAGCCATCAGTGTTCAGGAATTACTCCTGACTCTTCATTTAGGAATCATACCTGATGGTGCTTGGGGGTCCATCTGGGGTGTTGGGGGTTGAACACATTGCAACTGCAGGCAAGGCAAGCACCTTATCCACTCTACTGTCTCTACAGTCCTGTCCAAACTTCTAATACCAGATTGATTTTATTGTATTTGAATTTTGTATAAATGAAATTGTACAATATATGCTCCATTATTGACTACTATAATTCAGCATTATTTCTGAAGCTCACATGTTCTTGCATATAGTTGGGTCTTTTTGTTTTCTTTTTGGGTCACACCAGTGATGCTCAGGGGTTATTCCTGGCTCATGCATGAAGGAATTACTCCTGGTGGTGCTCGGGGGACCATATGGGATGCTGGGAATTGAACCTGTGTCGGCCATATTGGCTGCGTGCAAGGCAAACACCCTACCTGCTGTGCTATCGCTCCAGCCCCTAGTTGGGTCTTTTATAGGCTCAATTACATATAATTCCATTGCAAGAATACAAGGCTAGTTAATGCTTGCTTGTGTTCATAGGCTTGTTTCCAGATTTGGCTCTCAGAATGGTGCTAGTATTCATATGTTTGTTTGTGCATTTGAGGATATTTATATGTGAATTTCTTAGATTATAATAAAGGAAAATTTCTAGATCATATGGTAACTGAGTAGACAATGACAAATAGTTTTCTAAAGTGATCAGACCAATAAAATTACATTTTTTCAGCCATGTACAAGATATCTGTTGCTCTAAATAGTCCCCCAACATTTGGTATTTTCCATTTTTCCCCTTTAGTCTGAGTGGTGGGTATGTAGTGGCATCCACAATATGATTTTAACTTTCATTTTTCCCTTATGCAAGTAGAAAATCTCTATATATATTTATTGTCCATCTGGCTGCCCTCTTTTCTGAAATTGTTCAAATGTCTTATTTGTTTAAAACTTAAAAGAAGTTGGTAGAGAACATGGCTTAGCAGTAGATCACTTGCCTTGTATGTATGTGGATTGGATTCCTGACAACAAAATATATACAGAAGCAAAATGAAGAATGTACCATTGTCTCATTGATTGCCTTTTTCTCTTAACCTGTTAATAAATGTTCTTTATAGAGTTTTGCTCTGAGTCTGTTGTAGGATATATTGGTGGGAGTAGCTTCTGCCACTATTTGCCTTTTCCTTTTTTTCTTTTTTCTTTTTTTGAGCCACATCAGCAGAGCTCAGGGCTTATCCCTATGCTCAGGGATCATACCTGGTAGTGCTTTGGGACAAAATGTGGTGTCATGATTTGAAAAGTGTCAGCCACATGCAAGGCAAGTTCCTTAAACCCTGTACTATCTCTCTGGCCTTATTTATCTTTTTTGGGGGTGGGGTTATTAATCTGGTGGTGCTCAGGGGCTACTCCTAACAATGCTCAGGGTTCTCTTCTGGTGGTGCTCAGGGATCATATGTGGTGCTGAGGATTTAATAGGGTTGACTTAATGCAAGGTAGGTGTTTTATCGCCTGTATGACTTCATTGGATCCTCCTCTCCTTTTCACTTTTAATCAAGCTACCCGTGATGTATTCGATATGCCAAAAAAAAAAACAAAAACCAAACCAGTAACAAGTCTCACAATGGAGACATTACTGGTGCCCACTCGAGAAAATGGATGAACAATGAGAGGACAGTGACAGTTGGGTTTTGGCCATACCTGGTGGTACTCAGGAGTAACTTGTGTCTCTGTGCTCAGGAATCACTCCTGGTGTGCTTGGGGTACCATATGGGATGCTGAAGATCAAGCACCTTACCTGCTGTATTATCTTTCTGGCCATCCTTTTCCCTTTCTATATTTTTGTATATTACAAATAGAATTCATTACTCCTTCCTTCCTTCCTTCCTTCCTTCCTTCCTTCCTTCCTTCCTTCCTTCTTTCCTTTCTATCTTTCTTTTTCTTCTCACCACACCCAGCAGTGCTCAGGGCTTACTCCTGACTTGTATTTAGGGATCACTCTTGAAAGTGATTGGGGAGACCATATAGTGCTGGAGACTGAACCCAGGTTGACTGCATGCAAGGCAAGCACCTCATCTACTATACTATCTCTCCAGCTCTGAGTTTCTTTATTTTTTAGGTGTCCATTTGTTGCATAATATTGGTTTGTTCATGCTTCTCCCGCAGGGAGCTTAGGTTTATTGAGTTACTCTCATCACAGTGCTCTTGAGGCCCATCAATTCCATCAAGCACTAATAATCCTATATTGCTTTTCTCTTTCTTTTATGTCCTTTGCATGGTTTAGCAATGTCCTTTTTGTGTAGACACAGGAAGACAGTCAATACTGTGCTTTTGTAACGTCGGAGTTAATAGACTCCGAATAATATTTTCTCTTGGGCATTCATCATATTTACTTGATTTAAACCTCAGTTGCCCTAACTTTCTAAAGGAGGGTCCCAATGAAAGATTGGATGGTAGGAGAAAATAAAAGGTCACGATTACCAACCAGCCTGTAGCTCTGTTTCTTCCTTCCCCATTCCCTCATTTCTCGCATTGCCTGTTCCTCTATTGTCTGTTGCTGTTGGTTGATTGGTTCTAGGTCACTGAACACATCCATGCTTTGAACGCATCCATTGTATTATTTCCGCCCCCCCCCACCTTATGTTAGTGCTTTGGTTGGTTTACCATCTAGGAAATCTTTGTAAACTCCAAAGTCAGATCGTACTTCTTTCTGACTTGTTCAGTTTTCTTTTCTTTTCTTTGTTTGTTTGTTTTGTTTTGTTTTTGCTTTTAGAGCCACAACTGGCTATGCTTAAGGGTTTCTGCTATTTCAATGTTTTGGCGTTTCTCCTGGTGGTGCTGGAATTCAGACCTGGCCTCCTGCATGCAAATCCTCAGCTCCAGTCCATTGAACTCTCCCTTTTTTCTGATTTTACCAACAATGTTTGCTTTTACATTTAGATATGTCATAGATAGATTTTATTGCTGTCAGTGGAATGAGGAAAACCTCAAAGACCAATTGTTTCCTTATGAATGGCCAGACATTCAAGCCCTATTTAGTATACTTCACGTGTCTCTTTTGTCATAAATCTGGGGGATACTCTATCCATATCCACTGGCCATTTTGTCTGTCCTTGTACCACTATCTACACTTCCTAATTGTAATTGTTCTGTCATGTCATAAATCTCCCTCTTCATCCTTTGTCTTCTTTATGCAGAGGCCTTGCTAACCTTCTCGTATAATTCCAGTTTTACTATATATGTTGCCAAAGTGAGTACGTTCCTTTTTTTTTTTTTTTTTTTAGTTTGCCCTAGGAATCTTTTGCACTTTACATTCACACACACATTTAAATTTTTATTCTGTTTTATTTATGTGTGGAGCCAGGTCAAGCCCAGGCTTCACACTTGTGAAGCATGTGCTCTGCTACCAGGCCAGATGATCAGCCCACAGATATATTTTGTTATCAATTTATACATTTACACTCCTTGTGGATTGTTATCTTGTGGAGTTGCATTGAATATGTAAATCAATTTGAAAGAAATGATATTATGTAAAATGAAGCATCTCTGTTCATATATCTAAGGTATTCACTATTTACTGAGTTATTATTTATTTTTTCTGAAATATTTTGTGGTTTTTTAATGTAGAGATTTTTCACATCATGTGTGAAGCATTTTCCTATGTTTTAAATGTTTTGATACTATTTTGAGTAAGACTCCTGTTTGAAAAAACAATATTTTTTTGGTTTTGATCTAAATGTAATGGTATTCAGTATTTAGTCCTGGCTCTGTGTTCAGGGATCACTCCTAGAAAGGATCAGGAGACACAGTTGGTGCCATGATTTGATCCTGGGTCAGCCACATGCAAAGCAAGCTTCTTAACTGCTGTAATATTTCTCTGGTTCCTGTAAAATTTTATCTTATCTTTTCTCAAATGGCAGTATTTTGAGAATACCTAGAGGTAAATTCACTGTTTTTAATTTAAATCCAACAACATTTTAAAAACATATCACTGCTGATTTTTATTTTCTATGTATACATCATACCATCTGTGAGTATATGTATCTGGTTTATATTCCCTTTAATTCAATCTGTATGCAGTTTATTAATTTACCTTGCCTTAAATGCTTTGAATAAACTCTTCAACAATGTGCATATGGACATACATGTTAATATCTGAACCCATGTCCAGCCCTCTGCCCCTGATCTTCTATTTATTTATTTATTTATTTATTGGCAACACAATACCTGGCAATGCTCAGGGCTTATTCCTGGTTCTGTACTCAGGGATCACTTCTGGCAGGTTTGGGAGACCATAGATGGTGCCAGGGATCGAATCTAGGTTGGCTATGTGCAAGCCAAGTGTCCTTCCTACCTGCAATGCTATCACTCTGCCCACCCCACCCCACTCCCTATTTTCTTTTTCAGAGTACTAATTGTTTATTTAATTTATTATTTTTTTATTGAATCACCATGAGATAATTATAAAGCTTTCATTTTAGAGATTCAGCCATACAATGATCAAACACTGATCCCTCCACTTCTATACACTGTACACCGCTGGTGTCCCCAGTATTTCTCCCCCCTCCCCAGTCCTCACCTTGCCTTCATGGCAGGCGATTTCCCCAGAACTCTCTACTCTGGGGCACTGTAGCACCGCAGCAGTGTTCTCCCATTGTTCATCGATTTGCTCCAGCAGGCACCATTAACATCTCCATTGTGAGACTTGTTGTTACTATTTTTGGCATATCGAATATGCCACGGGGAGCTTGCCAGGTTCTGGCATGCAGGCAGTATACTCTCGGTAGCTTGCCAGGCTCTCTGAGAGGGATGAAGGAATCAAACCTGGGTCAGCCACGTGAAAGGCAAACACCCTACTTGCTGTACTATCGCTGCAGCCCATTATGTTTTTGGCATTATGTTTTTTTTTTTCACGTAACACCTGACCATCTCGTCAGTAAAGAAACAAAGAGCACCTGGCCCAGACAAGATCAGACCTGAACACCTGAAGAACTTACCATCAGTACTCATCAGTACACTGGCTCGGCTCTTCACACGCTACCTGTCTGAATGCAAGGTTCCGTCCCAATGGAAAACCAGCAGGACTGTACTACTATACAAGAAGGGAGACATCCACGACATTGGCAGCTATCGTCCAATCTGCCTATTGTCTGTCATCTACAAACTGTTCACTCGAGTCATCCTGAATAGGATTAGCAGAACACTAGATAAAGGACAACCATGTGAACAAGCCGGATTCCAAAAAGGATTCAGTACCATCGACCATATCCACAAGATTACTAAGCTCATTGAGATTTCTCAGGAGTTCAAGATGCCACTCTGTCTAACGTTCATTGATTTAAAGAAGGCCTTTGATTCTGTTGAGACGAAAGTGGTCATAGAAGCCCTAGCCAGTCAGGGCGTACAAACTCAATACATCAGGATCCTTCGTGAGCTCTATTACGGATTCACTACCAGGATCTCACTATTCTACAAAGAAGTAATCATCCACGTCAAGAGAGGGGTTTGGCAGGGTGATACCATTTCACCAAAACTCTTCAGTGCCACCCTTGAGAACATCATGCAACGACTGGAATGGGAAAGAATGGGAGTGAAGATAGATGGTCGGCAACTACACCACCTCCGCTTTGCTGATGACATCGTTCTAATAACACCAAACATCAGCCAAGCGGCACAAATGCTGACCGACTTCGACTGTGAGTGTGGAAAGGTCGGACTACAGCTGAATCTTACGAAGACAATGTTTATGAGAAACAGCCTCCTTCCTGACGCTCCATTCGCTCTCAACAGAACCACCATCTTCGAATGCAACAGTTATGTATACCTAGGTCGAGAAATCAACATGATGAATGACCTGGCACCTGAGTTGCGCAGGAGGAAGAGAGCGGCTTGGAATGCCTTCAAGAGCATTGAAGAAATAACTAAAAGGACAAAGAACCTCCAGCTACGAGCACATCTCTTTGATTCCACTGTTCTTCCTGCATTAACATATGCCTCAGAGACCTGGGCCCTACGAAAACAGGATGAGAATGTTATTTGGGTCTCTCAAAGAGGAATCGAAAGAGCTATGCTTGGAATATCACGATTCACTCAAATGAGAGATAGAATCCGGAGTTCTCATCTTCGTCAACGCTCAAGAATCAGGGATGCTGTCTCATTTGCCAAGTCATCAAAAATCAGATGGGCTGGACACGTAATGAGGTTTACAGACAACCGCTGGACTAGAGCCATTACTGACTGGATTCCACGGGATGTCAAAAGATCGCGTGGACGCCCACCTACATGGTCAGACTTCTTTGTCAAGACCTTGAATGATCAGTTTGAGGCTCTGCATGTTCCTAGAACGAACAGATGCCATTGGGCTACGCTAGCACGCAACAGGGATGAATGGAGACGTTACTGGCACCCGCTCCAGTAAATCGATGAATAACGGGGGATCAAGTGATCAAGTGAACACCGGCGATACACAGGGGTTACTCCTGGCTCATGCACTCAGGAATTACTCTTGGTGGTGCTTGGGGGACCCTACAGGATGCTGGGAATTGAACCTGGGTCAGCCACATGCAAAGCAAATGCCCTACCTGCTGTGCTCCAGCCTCGGGCATTATGTTTTCCTTGAATTTTCCCACCAACATTCAAGCCTGCCTGCCAGGGGCAGATGCTAGATTATTTATTGTCCATTGCTCATTTTGAATATCATGGGTACCGCGGCTGTGCACTTCTGGAATCCTAGATTGTAAATGGTTGGGTTTCAGAGGCATTTCTGTAGGGCACTAATCCATTTTGGGATCAATTGGCCATCTCTGGATCAGGACTGTTGGTGTGCTAAGATGGTGCCTGGAGGCATATTGACAAGTGGGCGGGGAGCTGGGGAGGGACAGCCCAGCACCTCTGCTGCCATGCAGCAGGGAGATTTAATCTTGGAACCCGCATACCTGGGCCTTACTTGTGGAAGCTCTTGGTTGCCGGGATTCCATCTCCAGTAGGCGGGGAGACTGCTCCATCTGGGGTGCCCCAGTGAAATTGGCTCAGTATGGGGCCCAGACAGATCTCCGGCTCTGTGATGTCTTCCAGGACTCACAGCTGTGTCTCTGGCTTTTGATGTTTTTCGGGATTTTTTTTATGGGTCTCTGAAGCAAGGCCAGTAATAGAGTTTACAGGGTGGCATGGAGTTGGTTCGTGGGGGTGACTTCCAGTGCTTTGGGAAGTGAGTGAGGGGAGGTAGCCCACCCCAATTCCATTAAAGCCTGGAGATTTCAGTCACAAAACCCACATACCCAAATTTTCAGCAGATTATATCTTGGTGAGGTCCGTTCTGAGATGGTGGAGTCAGGCTGGGTGTATGGTGGTGATTTTGGATTGTGGAAGCAAGCGGCTGCTGGGGGCTCTGAATGGGCAGGCAAGGGCCAAACTGACCCCCTCTGTCTTACCCCAATCTGTTTCACCATGTGCGGGTCTGAGATTAACTGTGACTTTTGATCTCTTTCAAGATTTATCTATGGGTCTCTGAAATAAGGCCAATAGCTGAGCGGGAGGTGGTTTGTGGGTATGGCTCCCACATACCTAACTTTTGGCTGTTTAATTCTTGGTAAACTTGGTCCCAAGTTGTTGGGGTCTGGCCAAAGGCACAGCAGAAATTTTGGGCTGTCAGGAAGCCTGAAGGCACCATCAGGCTGCTGATGTACTTGCCTCTCAGGTACAGGTTGACCGGTTGGCGGCACCATACCCCCAGTACTGATTGTTTAAAGGCAAAAACTGAATTCTAAGTGCTCTAGTAATCTTTCTTCTACATCTCAGTAAATGGCACCAGGATCTCATAATTTTCTCAAGTCAATCATTAGAAACCAGTGTTGATGACCTCTTTTCAATGAAGGTTTCTAAAATTTGGGTTTGGGGCCACATCTGGCAGTGCTCACTCAAGGCTCACTCCTGGCTCTATGCTCAGGTGTCATTCCTGGCAGTGTTCAGGGGACCATGTGATGCAGAAGTCAAACTTAAGGCTCTGGCATGTGAAGCATGTGCTCCAGCCTCAGGAGCCATCTTCTGGCCCCTGTTAGTGAAGGTTTTAAGATTTCTGCCTTAATAGAAATGCGCCCGGACCCCGCAGTAGGTTACTGTTGCCGGGCCACCCTAGGGGGAAAAGGGTGCTGTCCCTCCACCTGCTCCCCCTTGGCGGGTCAGTCGCCGCCATCTTCCAGAGGCCATTGGACGGTCAGGTTTGGGCCCACAGTGACGAGACACGCGGGGCCTCATGGGAT